GAAAAAAAAGGAAGCCAAAAAGGTAAGAAAGGAGGGATGTGAAAGAGGGTCAAGGAAAGAAAAATAGCCACACCACATTAAAGGGAGTAGTATGGACCGAGTGTTAGAAAAAGGGGAGATGAAGAGGGCGAACCTATTGATATTTCCGGGGAAATGTCAAGTTGGGAAGGAAAAGACTAGTATGAAAAGGAGGGGAGGAAACACATGATAAACCTAAACAAAACAACACAAAAGGGGGGGGGGGGGGGTGTCAGCGGCATCTCTTCACAGCGCTGCGAGCGGTCGGTGGACGCTGCTGCCACGGCGTAGACGACGACGGTGAGCGGCAGAAGCCACAGCAGCAGCATCGAGAGGCGCCAGCGGCCGACAACGATCATGATGACGTTGACGATCAGCAGCGTCCACATGTACACCCACCTCTGGCTCCGCACCTCCGACGCGGGCACGGGCGCGCGAGATTAGCCGAGGCTAGCCGAGAGTACACACCCGAACGCGGCTCCCGCACACCTCGACGGGCACGCGCGAGCCAAGGACGAGCTTCACCTGCAGCCCCTCCTGCTCGGTGGTGTAGCAGAGGCACCACGTGCAGAGCGCGAGCGCAAACTGGTCCCTGCATTCCAACCATGCGGCGAGAGGCGGGAGCCGTGATGAAAGCAAGAGAGGTGGCACGTTGCTACCCAGAGCGAGAGAGGTGAGAAGCAAGCAGGTGAAGGGCGGGGCGGGGGCGACTGGCGCACAGGGAGATGTGGGGAGATGTGGGGAGATATGGGGAGATCACATGTTCAGGATGACTTCGTACATAAGATACAGGTTGGGCAGCTCGTGCAGGCTGGACTCGAAGTAGACAGCGTAGATGCCCGTCACGGTGAAGGCGAGCTGCGCCGGGATGATCACGCTCTGTACCTCGCAGAGGGCCGCCAGCCAGACCGTGGTGCAGTAGCCGTACGAGTTGGCCTCGGGCCGCGACCCCATCGACCTAGAGTCGGCCTCCGGTGATTCGGCCTCCGCGCTAGAGCGTGCCGCGAGAGAGCTCTGGCGTCGACCGCAGCAGGATCCGCGTCGCGAACCAAAAGTCGTACTATGGAGGCGAGGAAGGATGGCGGTGAAGCGCGCGGGAGAGCTCAGGGCGGGGAGGCGGGCGGGAGGGCGGCCGGTCGCCTTGTTGCCGTACTGCCCCAGCCCGTCGCCCCACATGATGAAGCCGAGGACCCAGAAGGCGAGCGACACGTAGGTCAGGACTTTGGCGACGCGGAGGACGGACCTGTGGGGCGGTAGTAGTAGTAGTAGTGGGGCGTGTGTTATGATGTGTATGTGTGTGCCCAGAATTAAGGCTGTGGGTGTGGCCGGGGCAGGGCGGCGCGCACGGCGTATCGTCCGACAGGAGGTGACTCCACGTCCCTTGGTCATAGGCGTCGGGGACGGCCATGATGAAATCCTGCGAGGGCACCGATCGGAGCTCAGGGCAGGAGGGTGAGCTTTATCTTTGTGTCAGGACGGATCTACCGGAGGGAGATTTGGGTCAAGAAGCGGGTGATACGTTGAGATGCTGCGGAGCGCCTGCACCACGAATGACTCGAGGAACGTGGCGATCCAGAGCTGGGTGAAGGTCGCAACGAAGACCGCAAGCCACTGGTGGATGTTGCACGCGATGCACGTGTACCAGCAGAGCTGCGTGACCGGCCACGAGCAGCGGCAGCCCAGCCAGCTGAAGAGGACGTCAGAGCGGCTGCTACCAGGAAACGGGACTTGGACGGGCTGCGGGGCATTGCTCCCGGGGAAGCGCGAGTAGGGCGGCATCGTCGCGCCGACGGGTACATAAGGGTGCGAAGGCGCAAAGAGGTTGCTCGCATCGACGTGCGCTCTCCGCACCTCCTCCGCGCACCCGGCCGTACTGCTGTGGCCCTGCCACACCGCATCGAAGGGGAGGGCAGTTGTGTATGCCTCCGGCGCCTCCTCGGCTTGCTGGCCGGCTTCGAGCGCTTTTAGCCTGTCCTTGAGTGGGTTCAGGCTGTCCTCATTATCATCGGGCTGCTCTGGCGTGTACCCCACGGAGGGAAATAGCGTCATTCCGACCCGGTTGGTCCTCACGTCCGGTTCCGGAAGCACAAACGGGAACCCGCTGACAACCTGAAGCGCCTCGTTGGCCTGCTGGCGCGAGATGGCTGCGTAAATCGCCCACTTGAGGACGTCTTGTGAGGTCATCGTGTAGACCTTTGGCGGGTCGCCGGGCTCCCGCGCAGCACGCGCACGGCGATTGAAGCTAGCAGCAGGCAGCAGGCGATCGCGAACGAAGCTCATGAAGGAGTGGTGTTCGTTGGAGACGAGAGGCTGCGCGGCGTGATCGACCATTTGCTGCGCGGCAGGGCTAAGCAGAACGTACGGAAGGATCTCGCTCTCCGTCGGAAGAGCGTAACCGCCCGCCGTCCCAGCATTCGCGGCGCTCGTACCGTCGTACCCTATTCCGCCGCCAGACTCGAGGGCACTTTCGAGGTCGCGGATGCGGCTAGCCAGGGCATCGATGTGGCTGCGTGCGGCGGCATGCTGCGCCGCCATCGCCGCGTCCTGCGCTCGCGCCTTCGCCGCCATCGCCGCCATCGCCGCGTCCTGCGCTTGCGCCTTCGCCGCCATCGCGGCGTCCTGTACGTCCATGCGGCGCAGGAGGCTTTCACCCTCGTCCGTGACCCACGACGACATAACGGATCAGTTGGAATCAGCAAATATGCTTCGGGCCGGCGCGCATAGTGCAGAGACAAGGTCGGTGGAGACGCTGGTTGGAGCGTGGGATGGGTTGCTGAGTGTGAACACGATTGCCGATGTGTGTGGTTCACTCATTAATTCCTTAATTGCGTACCGTATTCCGGGTAATCTTAATTATTAATCATCGGGCGGGGCGCGGCGCGGCGGCTGCGCGAGGCGGCGGCGCGGCGCGGCGGCGGGCGGGGCGGAGCGGGGCGGCGTGACCATCTGTACTGACCCGGTCTCTGGCCGTTGATGCAGCGCAATGGTCGCGCCGCCCTCGACTCAAGGGGCTGCCTTCCATCCGCCGCTGCTCAGGCTGGGGGAGGGGGGGAAACCTCCTGTTCCTCGCGGGACGGGAGCAGCCCCCTCCTTGCCCGGTCTGCAATGCAGGGCGGTGGTCGTGCCATCTACGCTTCACAACGACCACGCCGCAATGTCGCCGGCGCGCGACACGTTCCCGTAGGCCGGACTGTCCTGGTCGAGAGTGTGTGCCGCCAAGGCGGGACCACTCGGGGACAGTGCCGACGGGACGCGGCTCGAAGGGTGTGGCTCCGCAGCGCGGCTGGCACTCGTCGCAGAGGCCTCGCCTTCGAAAAGTCGGGCATGGCTCCACCCGCAACTTTCTCGCTAACACGCGCGCACCGCCGAGCCTGCGGCGGGCGCGCTGCGGCCGCACGTCTACTTCGTCATAGTGCCACGACGTGCGGCCTAGATTTAGCCCACGCACCTCTGCTCGCAAACACTCACCCATTTGATTGTCACTGACCGTGAGTGCGAGATTAGGGCTAGCCGTAGGCAGCTAGCCTCTGAGGAGGGCGTCCATAGACACCTCACTAGACCCCACACACGGTCTCGTCCGTGCCTCGCCGGCCGGAGAGATTGCTGGAGGTAGAGCAAGCCTGCTCTAGCCTCGCATGTCACTTCCTGTCGTCTGTTGTGTCGTTGTGCCCTTGTTTGTTTCTCTTGGCACCTTGGAGTGCTGGGGGGGGCGACAGGGAGGATATGGCCTTGAGTTATGTGTACGCCAACTCAGGGTGTGTGGCAGCCCGCTGGCTGTGTGTCTTGTGAGCTTGTTTGTGTCTGTGTGTCGCTCGTGCGTGCCGTCATCATCTGTCTTGCGTCCACCCATACCTGAAGCCCGGCGCATTTCTATCCCGAGGCGCTGCTCGGCGCCGAAACAATCGGATCATAATATAAAGACAGCGTTAATCGCGCACACACATCACACTCCCTGCGCAATAAAACGTATCCCGTTACGACTATACTATACTCTTGAAGGATCCCGCAGACGCACCGCGCGGCGGAGCGTGCGGTCTCACGCGGCACTCGCCGTGTCCTCGTGAGGAGCTAGCACTGCTTGGGACAGGCTGTGGTTGAGGCCGCGGCGCAGGCAGTGCGAAAGGACCTCCTGCGGCTCGCCGTCGAGCATCGCATAGCCGAGGAGCTCAAAGTCCCTCTTGTAGACCCGGTTGACGATGCGAATCGTCGCCGGCGTGTGGCGCGTCTGCGTCAGCAGCGCGCAGGGGTCGCAGTGCTTCGGCCCGCAGAGGCGGCCGCGCGACTCGCGCGGCGAGCTCTTCACATTCTCACGCGGCAGAACGCCAACCTCGAGCCCGAGGCGCGGGAAGATGCGGCGGAGGTCCTCCTCGAGCCGCTCGAACTTTGCGACGTGCGTCACCGCGCGTGAGCCGTCGGGCCAGTGCGTGAACATGGTTGCCGGCCTGAAGTGCGTGATGGTCGGGTCGTGCCACCAGGCGAGCGTTCCGTTGGCGAGGTTGGCGTCCAGCCACTCCAGGTAGGCGCCGAATGTCGTCGGGTGGGGCGCGTGCCTAAGTGGACAGTCTCGGGTAACCTAAGGCAATCTCGACTGATCTCGGGCAGTCCTCGTCGGGTGGGGCGTGTGCCGGCAGGCCGGTGGCTCGCACGGCCAGAAGCGGTCGTAGCCGGGAAGCTGATCCTCGACGCCAGGCTTGCCCAGCAGCTCAGTCGTCGTGCGCTGGTCGAAGGAGGCGAGGACGCGAGTGTATGGGTGCCTCACGCTCGAGAAGGAGCGGTACCTGCGAGAGTGCATGAGGATCGTCCGAACGTGCCCTAGATTGCCTGAGAATATACGAAGGAGCTCCTTCGCTGCACGCCCTCGACGTCGATGGCGCGGAAGTCGGCATCGCGGTCGCGTGTGGCGAACCTTTCAACTTCGCTCGGTGTCGTATGACACCTGTCCATTCGGTCTCGCACGATTTGTGACGACATGGAGAGCATGTACCATAATCGGACGCAGCCGCCCGTCGCCAGCAGCGCGTCTGTGATGCTCAGGCCAGCACACTTTGGGACGTGGTAGAAAGCAACCTCTCTCTCGCGGCAGACGACGAATGCATCCACGTGCAGCAGAGCAGCGAAACCGAGCGCGAGCCTGAGCATCGTCCCAGACCGAGCTTGTAGCATCGTGCAAGTGGACCCCTTGCAAGGTCTACGGGCGTCACGTTGATTCGTCTCAGTCTCACGTGAATTCGTCCTTGTCTCACTCTCAGCTCAGCGGAGTCTCATAGATCTATCACTCCGTCTCACTTCCGTCTCACTGCAGTCTCTTCCGTCCGGCCTTCTCGTCCGTCTCAAGCGCGACAGGCTCCGAAAGTGCCCGAGAGTTCCCAGATTGCCCGAGAGTACCCGTGCATCGTCGTGATGTGGTCGGGGCAGTGGGAGGCGCCCGAGAATACGCCTGTCGGAGCACTTGGCCTTGGAGCACTTGGAGTGCAGTTATCAGCCTCACATCCAGGGCCAGATTTTCTCGGTCCAAATTGTGGTGCCGTCTCGGTGTCAACACAACAATGTGTAAATATGAAGCTGCTCGTTCTCGCTGCGGCCCTCGCGTGCGCAGGGGCGTTCGCCCCGCCGCCCGTGACGGCACGCGCGGGCGCGCTCGCCGTGCGTGTCGGAGCCAGCCCGGTGATGCAGCCACTTTCCACGAAACCGCGGCGCGCCGTCGCTCAACACTCGCTTCGCGTCTCGTAGGTTGCAGCGGCAAAGGCTCCCGCCAAGCGTCCGGTCCGCAAGCCGGTGAAGAAGGTCGCCGCGAAGAAACCACCCGCCAAGAAGGTGGCGAAGAAGCAAGTGGCGAAACCTGTCAAGCGGGTACGCTAGCTATGTCCTGCCCAGCTGCAGCCCGGAGCGTCCACCCCGTCGGATTGCCTCCGTATCCAAATTAGGCGGTCTCGAAGCTGCCAGTCAAGAAGGCGCAATCCCCCCTCAACCACCACATCGCACCACGCCCAAGGGCAGCGCGCCTTCACAGAGCTCGCCTGGCCGCGCCCTCACCGTCCGATAGGCCGTCAAGCCGGCGGCCAAAAAGGTGGTGGCAAAGAAGGCGCCGCCGAAGAGGGTTGTGAAGAAGGCAGTCAAGACCGCGAAGGGGGCGCCGGCTGCATCGGGCCAGCCATAACCGAGATGAGAAGCAGCGATGCGCGCCGCGGGTAGCACAGAGTGAGAAGCTAAGCCACAGAGGTGCTCTCATGTGCCTGTGCAGGCGGCCCCGCGCCCGCACCCCCTCCTCTGCGCCGAGCTGCAAACCTCGCCTTACATCCATCTCGCAACCTTCCCCACCCGCCTCAGCAGGCGGCCCGTTCGCCGTCTTCTTCCTCGCGGTGCCGTGGCTCGCGATCGGGGCTCAGGCGCGAGGCCGCGACCGAGAAAAGAGATGCACAAGACACCGAGCGCACTTGTGCTTGTCGCTTGTGCATGCACATGTTGACGCCTCGCGGGGTGACACGCAGTCAGAAGAGGCTTGACTCACAATGGGGCTGGAACGTCGCTCTCCCTCCGATAGGTCGCTACGGGTGCGTGAACGCAGCAACGAGCGCACAGACAGCGTTGAAGAACTTGTCATAGCCCGCGCCGGACCGCGCAGCAACTGCTGAGCGTGCCTGTGTGGCGGCGCGCCTCTCTGTGCAGACTGGCAGTATAACACCCCGCGCCCGCCCCCGGGAGAGACCGAGGGCCCCCACGCATGGTGTCGTCCACCGCGCATCCAGTCTCTCTGCTAGTGGAGAGGATACACCCCCATAAACCCCTCGGGTCTCACGGACTTCTCTGTCGTCTCGAGAACGCAAGCAACGCTCTGCGATCGCACTGCCTGGAGCCAACCCTGTTAAATTCTTCTCTGCCGTAAGAAAGAAAACAGAGAACCCAAACGAGGGATGGGACGAGGACAGCCGTGTGGACTGTGGTGTCGCGACCCTTGCTTATCTTTTTCTTTTTGAGCTGCCTTTGATGTTATGAAACAAACGCAAGGCGGACACACACATGGCACATCGCTCTCAGGCCCACCGACATCCACACATAAATAAATAAATAAAACGGGCACGCCAACGAGGGGTGGGAGAAGGACAGGGTCCCCACCTGCACGAGCAGGATCTTGTAAGGACGATCAGGGACACAGGGGAACGGGAGCGGGGAGCGCATCGCGACACGGAGGGGGGCTGGGCAGGGTTCACCCACACGACAGGGTCCCAGGGATTCCTCTCTCGTATAGGACAAAGTTGCACCCGGCGGCACGGGGGCAGGCGCGGGCCTCCTACTGGTTGCGCTCTCCTAGTTCTCCTGCTCCTGACAAAAGGGACAGCGACAGGCTCGCAGCACGGTGGACTCCCTATTCCACTGGCAATCTCTCTCGACTAGCGACCTTCCTCCGGCTTCTCACCAGCAGTCTCTCACTACCACGGGCACACTGACAGAGGCGGCCAAAAGGCTCACGTGGGTGGCAGGGCGGTGATAGGAGTCTCCCACTCTGTGGGCTTCGCTAGAGGTGCGCCCCCTGCGCGTGTCCTCGCCCTTGCGGTCTTGAAGGGGAAGGGGAAGGGGCTGTGACATCCACACACTCGCCGGGGTGAACCCAACAATTTTTTTGCGATGGCGACGCCGATATGTAATATAAAAAATAATGTGTATATGCCCGCTGACGACGACCCTTTGCAGCGTGCGGCAATTCATCTGACCGAAGCTGTGAGCGCTGTCAGAGCGGTGTTTCGACACCGATATCGTTCAAGGAGAACGCTGATTCAAAATCCGCTGTTCACACTTCACAGGTAAGTGTAAGCGGAGCAGCTGAGTAGATACAGCGAATCCTTTGTGTTCACACCTGCAAGAGCAGGTGTGAACCGATTTCGGCCTTAGCCGTCGGTATGCCAATAGCGTGCTAGCCAAGTAGTACGCAGTTGGATTCCGAGGGTGTCCCATCACAAGTTCGGCTGCCGACAGACAAGATTGTCCCTTAGTCCTGGCTTTGCGCAGATATTTTTCTTTTTTGAGAGCGCCTTCGTTGTTAATAGTACAAACCCAATGGTCCTCTGCGAGCGGTCCTCCGTTGCAGTCACGCACACGCACACGCCATGCCGCACCGCGCGCCCGCCCACCGCCCCGCCCAGGCGGGAAAGAGACGAGGAGATGGGACAGCGAAGGAGGAGTACGAGCACGTATGGGAGGGTTCAGTAATGCGCCACGCTGCCCGGCGTCTCTCACTTTCCGGGACAGCCCCGCCCTTTTGAGGCGGGAGAGTGACGGCTACCCCGTACGCGCCTGTTGCTCTACCCCGACGCCGACCGCCCATTCTCCCCTCCTCGTTCCCCCCTCGAATGCTCCGGACCCCGACAAGCCGCCCGACGTTGGGCCTCTGCCCCGCACGCTCCCGCCCCTCTGCCCCTCACACACACCCAGGCCCGACACGCACATACAAGACAAACCCGGCGTCCTGCTCTCAAAAGAAAAAGAAAAAAGGGAATGAGGAGACCAGCGGGGGAGACTCCCCGCCTATGCAAGCCCCAGAGAGGGGCCGCCATCGCCGAAGCTGTGCCAAAGCATAACTCCAAAACCCGCAGCGGCCCAGGGGGCCTTGGGGGCAGCCTGCCGGACCGCCGCTGCACGGGGCTAGGCACCAGAAGATGAGTGGAATTGATGAATTGGGCCGTTGTCCGTGCCTCCCCTCTATACGTCAGAGTGGGACCTACGCCGCGCCGGGAAAGGGGCGCGCCCGGTCCTCGACGGAGCCGCGCGCCCCAAACGACCCAGGCGGCGAGTAGTCGACCTCGAACCTTCGACATGTAGTTGCCCATAGTTAGCGCCCCTCCTCCCTCGCCCGTCCCTACTCATACTGCTCTCGAGGCGCCCGCGGCATCTCGCCGCCCATCTTCGGCCACGCGTTGTAGTCGAAGATGGCGGCGTTGCGCCTCGCGACGATGGCCGAGTGCACTTGCAGGAAGCGCTTGCGCTCGCTACTGACCCGCCATCGTTCGCTGTCGGAGGACGCCTTAGCGGCCTTGATGTCGAAGTTGGTGTTGAACCACGTCGCCGCCTCGTGCCCGATGCCGCCACGCGTGCTCGCCGCCCATGTCATAAAGTCGCAGTTTTTGGCGTCGCACGCCGCTGCCTTGGCCTTCCGCTTCGTCGCCTCGGCGTGGAACAGGTGTTGCAACCTGGTACTCAAGACGGCTCGCAGCGGTCGGCAGAAGGAGCCATCACGCACTAGCGGCCTATCTTCATCAACTCCGCGCGACAAGTGTGCGAGGTTTCTGCGCCTACAGGTCTAATGCCCGCGACGGCCTGCGAGGTCCCGCTGGAACTCGCCACCCACCTCGGTGGCGTGGATGCGCTCGAGTTCGGCCCTCGAGGCGCGCCACTCGTCGTCGCGCTGCAGGGCAAGAGCGCAAATCCCGACGTGATCGCCGAGTGGGTTCCGGCGGCGCGACTCCTCGCGGGCGCCGGTTGGCGCGTCGTTGTCCCGAACCTGCACTCGAACGAGCTCACCAAGCCAGGCGCGGTGGCCAGCAAAGACGCGACGCAGGTCGTGCGTGACATCATCCGGTCCGAGCACAACTGCGGCGCGTCGTGCGCCGTCGTCATGGGGAAGAGCTGGGGCGGCGGCGAGGCTGTCGCATTTGCGGCGGCGCACCGGGCGATGGTCGTTGCCCTCGTGCTGGTTGCGCCGTCGCTCTCGGACATGTCGCTGCTGCAGCAGGTGCGGGAGATACCGATCTGTCTCTTCTGGGCCCGCGATGACGCGGTCAAGCCCTTCGCCCTGTCCGAGCACTACACCAGCAGCCTTGCGCCAGCCTGCACGCTGCACGCCTCCGACCTCGGAGGGCACCGCGTGCTGCCGGAGTACCTTCCCTCCATCGCCGCCTGGCTCAGCGAGAGACGGGCGGAGGCGTTGCATGCGGCGGAGGCGGGGCATGCGCCCGAGGCAGCAGCAGAGGCAACGCCCGCGCAGGCGCAAGTGCAGGGCGAGGGGCTCGCAAGGCGCTCCGCGGACCACCGTCACTCCGCCGACCTCACCCGCCCTCGGACTCTCCTCGCGGCGATCGAGCGCCTCGATCTACTGCACGACTCGGCGGCCGCCGCTGAGGCGGGCGGCGTGCTCCGCTGCTTGATCCTCGGGGCGGACGCTCGCGAAGGGGCGTCTCTGGAGGCTGCCTGCGGCGTCTTCTCGCCCGCGTGTCTGCTGCTTGCCGGCTCCCCCTGGACAGAGCTGCGACTCACGCTCTGCGGCCCAAACTGCGCCGCGGCGAGGGGCGCACGCCTCACCGCGGCGGCGGAGGCGGCCGCGAGAGCAGCAGCGGCGAGGCCTCTCGGCGGCGGCGAGGGTGGCTGCGGCGGGGAGGGCGCCGGCGATCGCGGCGGCGGGGAGGGTGGAGGTGAGGGCTGGGAGGGTGCCGTGCGGCTGAACGTGCGATTCAGCTGCAAGTTGTACCACGAGCTCACCGCGGACGAGCTGGGTGCCCCTCCGCACGTCGCCGTGGCCTTCCAGGCGGGCGTGTGGGGGTACGACACGTGGGCGCCGACGGTCGGCAGCGTCCTGAGGTCCGGCTGCGCTCTGGTGGTGACCTCGTACACTATCCTCGAGGCAGAGGACGACGAGGAGGCGCTCGCGGCGATCGGGGGCATGCGGTGGGCGTGGCGGCCGGAGCCCAACCCGTGGCGTTCGGCCGTGACCGAGAGCCGGCTCAACAGCCGAGGCGACGCGAGGGACCTCGCCGAGAATGCCGCCTGGCAGTGCGTCCTCGGGACCTCGCGTTGTGACGTGTGAGCTGGACAGAGAGCAGAGTAGGGACGCCCGCGCGGCGAGAGCGCACGTCATACCAGCCCCCCCGGCTTACTGCCAGCCTCCTACTGCCAGCCTAAAAAAACTCGGACCCACGAAGACAAGGAGCGCGCGCCAATGGCCGCCTCCGTGACACTCCCACCTCCTGGGCCGGCGCGGGAGTTTTACTGCCGAGTTTCTCCCGGCCGGCCGCCTCCTGACACGCCCACTGACCGAGCCCATCGAAAAAAAATTCGGCGCGCCGCACTGCTCTGACCCCTGCTCGCCCCTGCTCGCCCCTGCTCGCCACTGTCGCCTCGGTTGCCGAGGCTGCCGCGCACCCGCGCGCTACGCGACTACGAACTGCACCAGCTGGGCTCGAACCAACGACCAAAACGTCCCCGACCCGAACGCTGCACCAACTAGGCCACACCGCAGGCTCGATATGCAATACGCACAAAACTGGCCGCTCATAAAGCACTACTCATTTGCCGAGGCCACGCGGCGCCCCTCCACAGCCAGCCTACCCTCCTATCGCGCCACTCGAAGCCCCGCGGCCGCCTCTCGCCTACCGCGCTGCCCTCGCCTGCCACCGCACCGCCCGCGCTCCAGCCTAACCAGCTCTGCATCTCGCAACACACACTTGACAGGGACAGACCAGGCGCAGGAAAAGGGAGCGGGGCCCGAATCCAAGGGACCACCCCGTCGGGCGGAGGAGCTGTGAACTCAGGTCCAGCAGGAAGGCTGCTGGCTCCTGACTCATCCCCCAAATCCCCCACACCTTGGCGGCCTGAAACCTTACCATTCCGACACCTCACACACACCCCTCCCCTAGGGCTAAGCAGTGCGCGAGCCCACCCGACTTCAGGTGAGACGTTGACCACTCCTTTGGAACAGTTCTGTCAGTGGCTGTGGCCATCGTCTTCACGCTGCTGCAGAGGTGCCTGTCCAACCGGGTGCCTGGCGCCTTCATGCAGGAGGAGGTGCAGAACGAGAAGCTCGACACGAAGCTCGACCGGGTGCTTGAGCACCTGCAGTCTCTGCAGCAGGGGCAGCAGGAGCTCGCATACTCCGCTGCTGCTGCCTTAGGCGACAGGCCTGGGGGCATCAGTGCGGCCTTTTCGGGCGCAGCGTCTCCCCAAGGCGCCGCTGCAGGGGCGCCCTCCAAGCTCCCTGTCCCCATGGCCGGCCTGGAGCCCGCACTCGCCCCGGTCGAGATCGCGGCCTGATGCTTGGCGCAATGCAGCTCCGGAGGCGGGTGCAGTGGGTGCAGTGGGTGCAGTGGGTGCAGTGGGCCGTGGGCGGCGAGGCGAGGGCCAGCACAAAAGCAGCGGTGGTGGTTAAAGCCGCCGAGGTGGGGTGGGGCGCCCTGGTGTGGGAGGTGGGTGGGTGGGTGCGGAGCAATGCGCTTCGCAGCGCCCACACCGACGGGCCCGCCTGCCGGGGCCTCGCTCTGAGGCAAAAAGCAGCGCGCAGGGGTGGGCAGCCCGATAGTCTACCCGAGCCGGGCCGCCCCACGAGGTTGTTCATTGGAGGGGGGGGGGGGGGGGGGGATATTTAAACGTGCTTGGTGCCCAGGAACCCACCCCCCTCGTCGCACAAACCGATAAAATCGCGCGTGAAGACCCGCCGAGCCCCCCCCAACCAGAACCTGCTTGTTTAAAAACGTGAATTACCCTTGACTCTCGCCCCCGGGCTGGGACAAACTACGTGCACACGCAACACACGACCCATAGGTTGCTTATTTCCGCCTTTACGTACACGCGCACACTTGTGAGTATTCTTGTGATACAAAACCCCGACTGAGACACACCAGTGACGTCGACTCGAGCACATCGGTTGCCTCCATGAACGGCGGAACTTTATCGGACGCGTCCACACACACACACACTCACACACGCTTTAATTAAAGGTGTGCACATGCATCACTCTAGCGGCACACACCCGAGCGCCGCGCAGGGCGCGGCCCGGTGTTCCGAGCGCCTGTTCCGCCCCACAAAGCGCGAGCGCCCCCTACTCGCACGCTGACGCGCCGCCCAGCCAACGCGACGGATCCTCCCGACTTCCGCCGCAACGGAGGTTGTACATGTCCTCGATCTTGACCTTTCCGCGGTTGAAGACGCCCTCCGGGTCGTACTCGCAGCACAGCTTGTGAATCATCCGCCGCTGAGGGAGAGAGAGCGAGTTCGCAAAGATTGGCCGCCGCACGAGGCAGTCCGCCTTCGAGCCCGAGCCGAAGGGGGCCTTGCCCGGGTGGACGCGCAGCGGGATGCCGCAGCAGTCCAGCGCGTCCAGCAGCCGCTCGAGCCACTGGTGCTGTGGCAGGCAGCAGTCGAAGTCGAGCGGCCTCGCCTGCAAGCGAGGTGCAGCTCGAGGCTCGAATGGGGGTGGGGGAGGTCGTTGGGGGGGTCGAGGGGGGAGGCCGCGCCTGTGAGATGAAGAACTCGACGACGATGGCATCCTCGGTCGCGTTGGTCGCGTTCGACTCGGGGAGCATGCCGCACGCCTTGGGGGTGAGCCGGACCACGCACAGCAGCGCGGGCGCGGCGGCGAGGAGCGGCGCCGCCACCTCCACGTATTTCTCCCAGTCGGACCGCCGCACGTCCATCGAGAAGTCGAGGCCGGGAGCGTCGCCCGGCGTCCAGCCGTGGAAGAGCGAGTCCGAGATCGCAACCTCCGACTTGCGCACCGTCCGGACACGCCCGCTCGTCCACGAGTTGGCCTACGCAGACCGAGAAGCTGAGATCTGGCCGAGGTCGAGGTTGCATCTGGCCGCCCGTGCAGAGGGCGGCGCCTCGTAGAAGGTCTGCGGCGTCGTCGAGTTCTTTTTCAGCTGACCGGCGAAGAAGTCGTAGATCAGCGCAGTGGAGAGCTTGGCCGCAACCGCAGGCACGCAGCGCGGGACGCACGCGGGTGGCGACGGAAGGCAGCTCGAGAACGCCGGCAGGCAGCTCAACATGCGCGAGCCGGTCGTAGGGGAAGCTGCTACCTCGCCGCCCGCCTCCGCCTGCCCCTCGTCGTTTGGCACGGCGGGCGAGACGACGCGGACAAAGTTGCGACCTTGGTCCGTCTCAAAGATGACCATTGAGCCGTTGACGGGGGAGACTGTCGGCCGCGGCTGCCCGTCCGAGTCCTGCGTAATCTGCAAAAGCAGCCCCTTCATCTGCTCCGTGTCCCACGGCGCTGCGCGGCCGCACGCGGGGCGGCTGCGCGTGAGCGGGAGGCGCGACGTCGTCACGTCCCAGTAGGTCGTCTGCCTCAGCCGCAGCTCCACCTGGTGAGGGGCCGACGGTGGGGGTGGCACTAGGCAGCCGAATGGCTCTCTCCCCGCAGCCTCCACCGCCGCACCTTGACGATGATGCCCGTGATGCCGCAGATGCCAAAGGCGCTCTCAAACAGGTCGCGCCGCTCGTTGCGCGACGCACGCACGATCTGAGGCTCGCCGCCGATGTACACCGCCAGCCAGAGCGCCTCGACCCAGTCGAAGGCGGTGGGTGTGTACGAGTGGTGCACGTTGGTGCCGATGAAGCCGCCAAAGCACTGGCTGACCTGCGGGCACGCGGGGGCGATGGCGTCTCGGTCGTGTGTGCTCCCGCCGTCACCCTCCCTCCCCCTACCGGCGGACCGTCTTTGTAAAGCAGAGGCCCTTGGCCGGCCACTCGAGGTCCACGCAGTCCCACTCGAGCTGCCAGACAAAGTCGGCGATCTGGAGTCCGGCGGAAACGATCGCGCGCTTGTTTGCGACATCCACCTCCATGTGGGTCGACATGCTGCGCGTGAAGACGACGTTGCACGCGCCCGGGACATCAGGGTCCGCCTGAATCATGCGGTTCCACGACCAGCCCGAGGAGATGATGCGGATGCCGCTGGCGCAGCGCATCACCTAGTCAGGTGAGTTGGCGTGTCAGTGTGTGTCGGAGCGAGAATCGGCGAGCTCGGTCTATCCTGACCTCGAGCAGCTCAGCCTCGCAGCTGACCTCCTTGAAGTCGCTCACCACAATGTTGGAGCGGTCCTCCACTGGCACAATGTAGTCGGGATGGTCCTTGGGCCAATCTTGAATGGGGAGGTGAGGAAACGCGCGAGCGGCGGCGCTTGGCGTCGGGTCGTTCGTCCAGAGGCGCGGAGGGAGGTCAAGTCGGCGGCCGACCACCGGCGACGGGTTGGAGACGATGTCGTCATCAGTGAGCGTTGAGGAGGCGACAGACTCGTCCGTGAGCGTCGCGCCGAGCTTGTCCTTCTTCTTCTTGCCGCGAATTTTCTTCTGATAAAAGTGGAGAGGATTGCGCTTGCTTGGGAAGAGCGAGCGAGGGGCGCCCATATCCTGCAAGGTTCTCGAGGTCACAGTGGTGGATATCCTGGTCGATTGCCAAGGCGGCAGCGCCAAAGTGAAGGACTGACGTTGCGATTTCTCTTTTTGTGCGAGCCAGTCCCGTGCCCAGTGTTGTGCGAGGGAGCTTTGTTGTAAAACTCTCTTTTTGGGGGAGGTTCTCGAGGTTCTCGAGGTGGATATCCTTTGGCCGCGTTGGGTATAGCGAGGATTGGTGTAACACGAGCCACGGACGGAGGCGTGTTTTCTGACGGCCGACCGTCAGTGCACGGAGTTGCCCCTTCTCCGACTGCCCCGGCTAGTTCACATAAACGCACAACCCCGGGCCCCGAAATCGCACAGTGACAGTCAGACATGCAACACGGCTAGTTCACGGGTTGTGGGGGGGAGTGTTTTGTTGTAAAATTCTCTTTTTCGTAGTGTTGGTGCCAGTGCGCGCCAGTCCCGTGCCCAGTGTCGTGCGAGGGAGCTTTGTTGTAAAATTCTTTTCGCGAGGACCTTCTCTTTTCACAATCTATCTCCAAACAACTCTAACACTCACACATCATTTGGGGCCTGGAGCTCTCAATCTCCCCCGGGCCCAGATCGCACGCACGGACAGTCGAGAAGACAACCCCAGATCGACGAGTGAAACCAGACTGCACACAAAATCCGTGGTCGTGCCCCCCGAAAGCAAACCTCCTCGCCTCTCTACGCCGCGGCGGGCACTGGGCGCTCGTAGGTCGCGTAGAGGTTGTAGCGGACGCCCGCGGCGAGGCGGGTGACCGCATGGTGGATGCGGCAGTCGTGTGCGGTGGCCGTGCCGATCTTGCGCGCCGGGCGCACGATCTTGTCGCCCACGGCAAAGAGCAGCGCCGCACCGTCGAAGTCGTCGTTGAGTGCGACGTTGACGACGACGAGGCTCGAGTCGCGGTGGAATGGGATGACGTCGTCTTGCGTGCCGGCGATCGCCTCGCGGCGGCGGAGCTTGAACGTGGCGCGCGCTGCGGCGTCGGCACCGAGAGCCTTGAGTTGCGCCTCTCCCATCGAACGCAGGGCAGCCACCGCCTCGGAGCCGATGAGCTTTGCGAGCTCCCCCTCGGCGACGACGAACTTCATGTCGCGCAGCGCGTCTGGCGAGTCATCTGCTGCGAGGTGGCGCTCAATGCGCTCGACCAGCTGCTTGCACGACGACTTGTCGAGCAGCGTGCCCTCCTCAAACGCCTTGCCACCGATCGGCTTGGCGTAGAGCGGTGGCGACGGGCCGGCCGCCGCACGGACGATGGCGGCGACCTCGGACGGTGGCGTGGCGACGGCGGAGCCGGCGTCGAAGAGGATGCGCCGGTCCGCTTCCGACGGCTCCAGCCACTCGCCAATGTCTCCGGTCAGGTTCAAGACCACCAGGTGGAGTGTCGCGCCGTTCGCGATCTGGTAGAACTCGAGGGTCTGGTCGTCCTGCAGCCTTTTGCCGGCGAAGATCAAATGTTGGTTTGCTGCCACAGGGACGCTGTCCTGATACTGGTCGTGATACTGCTGCTCGAGGAGGAACTTGAGTGCGCCGATTGTGGTCGCTGAGGAGGTGACCTGGATGGGCAGCTTTCTGCCGGTCAGCGATTTCACGGTGATGGTGAAGACGCCCACCGCCGCCATCGAGTATTCAATGGAGAGAGAGCAGGAGGTGATGTCTGCGACCGAGGACTGCCCTGAGAACTGCCCTGCTCTCGCTAGCGCCCGCCGCGTTTCCCGCCAGTTTTTTCTTGTTTACCTTCCGGAGGAGGACTCTGCTGACCACTAACCGCCGACCGAAGCGCAGAGAACTGCGACAGATCGGTCTCATACTAGCACCACACCTCCAAAGTTTGTGTGAGGTGACTTGGACCACCAAGAGCTGGCTGGGGCTGCAGAAGCAGCGCATCTCAGTCGTTCGTTCTTCACACGGCCATCGCAGAGCAGATTGTGAATGAGCTTGCCTGCGGCGAGGGCGGTCGACTGCACGGAGCTAAGCGCCTCGCCGTCCTCGCAGGAGTCGCTTGGCGGCTCCCGTGGTGTACCTGTGTTAGTGCCAGTGCGCGCCAGTCCCGTGCCCAGTGTCGTGCGAGAGAGTGGGGTTTGGAGCACTTGGAGCACTTGGAGTGCAGTCGGTAACCTCACATCCAGGGCCGAGGAGCTAAGAAGCGCACCCAGCGGGCCGGATGATCGGTATCGGGCTACGGGCTAGAGAGCCCTGACCCCTAGGGGGAGTGCGCGTTCGCAGGGAAAGGGCCGTAATGTAAACACGGGTCTCCGAGGGCTGGCTCCGCGCTCCGGGTTTCCCCTAGCAGCAGACCGCCCCCTCTACTCGGAGCTATAATGGTGCACTTGGAGCACTTGGAGTGCGCAGTTATCAACCTCACATCCAGGGCCGGGGAGCTGAGAAGCGCGCCCAGCGGGCCGGATGATCGGCATCGGGTTACGGGCTAGAGAGGTTGAAAATTCTTTTTTACGAATGCGCGCCAGTCCCGTGCCCAGTGTAAAAGAAAGAAAGAAAACGGACAACCCAAGGGAGGGATGGGAGGACGTGCCCAGTGTTGTGCGAGGGAGCTAGCGTAAAATTCTTTTTTACCAGTCCCCCTGGTCGGCCCCATGCATGGTGACATGCATGGTGAGCTCTACTCGTATGCTGGCGCTGCAATCCTACCTCACGGCCGTTGCCAGCCTCGTCCTCGCCTGCGCCGGCGCCGGTGTCCTATCTTTCCCGTGGGCGCTCGCGGCGAGCCGCTTGCCCGCGTTCGGAGTGGTTGGCGTGGTCGTGCTCGGCGCATGCTGTCTGGGCATGCTCGTTCTCACTGATCACTCCCTCGCCGACGGCCACGCATGGTGCTATGAGCGAATACTGGAGCAGGCGTTCGGCTGGCGCAGCGCACGCGCCGCAACCGCGGCCATCGTGCTCCAGCAGCTCGGCTCATTGGTCGGCTTCCTCGTCGCCATTGCAGACTTTGGAGGCCCACTCGGCCTCCCCGCGCCGGCGCTGCTCGGCGCACTGGGCGCCCTCGTGCTGTGGCCGCTCTCGCTGCTGCCTTCGCTGCGCTCGCTCTGGCTCCCGAGCGCGCTCTCCATCGTGGCGGTCTGTGCCGTCTCCGGCGTGGTCGTCGCTCGTGCTGTCATCGACGACAGCCGATGCCCGACGGGCGCGCACGGCACGGAGCCTCCACTCGATCTCCTCGCGTGGCCCTCGAGCCCCGCGCGGCTGCTCGAGTGCGCGCCGCTCCTGATCTTCGGCTTCAACGCCCACCTGCAGGCGCCGATCGTCGCGTCTGAGGTGCGCCGCGCGCTGGGCCCAGGTGCCGCCGCACGGCGTGTGACGGTGCGCGCCGTGCTGAGCGCCCTCGCTGTGTGCGCTGCGCTGTACGCGGCCACCGCGCTCGCCGGCGTCGCGTGTTACGGGGCCGCCGTGCGGAACGACGTCCTCGCCAGCCTCGGCGCAGCCGCTGGCCACGACCCGTTTGCTGCGTTTGCAGGCGGTGCGATGCTCGCGCATTTGGCTCTCGCCCCTAGAAAGACTGAAGCAGATAAAACGGACACCTCTACTAGCTCTCGCCCCGTGTGTTCCAACTAGCACTTGAGAGGGCAACACGTAGTCGGCTATATTCAGCTCTATTCAGCGGGATCCGTTGATTCGTACCCCGCGTACTCACGCTGTAGGCCCTCGCCTACCCGGTCCTCTTGCACCCGCTGCTCGTCTCCACGACGCCGCACCACAGCGGCGCCTCTCCACCGACGCTCAGCGGCGCTCCGCCGACGGACGGCGGCGCCGGGGCCGGGCCCTCCAGCGAGCTGCTGTTGCCGCCGGTCGCGCGGCTGCAGCGCACCTCCATCTGCTGCTGGAGTATCTGCATCCGCTGCTGCAGCCCTCGCTGCCCCGCGCGGGCCGCCGCGCTGCGCAGCGGCGCCATCGTCGCGCTCACCGTCGCGCTCGCCCTCGCGGCCCGCCATCGGCTGAACGCCGTCTTTGCGGTCCTCGGCGGCTCCGTCGGCGCGGCGCTCGTCTGCTGGTTCCCCGCCGCGCTGCTAGTCGCCGACGCCCGAGGTGGCATCGCCGCCGGCAGCGCGTGGTACGTCGCCGCGACGCGTGGGCTGTTGGCAGCGGGGCTGGCGGCGCTGGGGGTTGCGGCGCTAGCCGGCACTCTCGTCACCTTGTCACGTCGCAGCTAGTGCTCGTGGTAGTTGGCTCCGGTGCACTTGGAGCACTTGGAGTAGAGCGTACTGTAAGGTCATCAGCCTCACATCCAGGGGCGGGTATTTTTCTTCATCTTTGTTACCATCTACTCCTGTCAATTCGCGCGTCTTGGTGAGTGGCAAGGAATGAATTTGGTTTCTCTTTATTTTTTCGCACGCACGGACAGTCCGAGTCTCGAGAAGACAGCGGGCAGATAGAATGGAGGCTCGAGAATGAAGGGCGAACGGCACGATACGAAAAGGCAGGGCGAGGCGGATGGAGAAAGAAGTGCCGAGGAGGCCATGGTGGAGGGGAGGGACGGGAGGACGAAAGAAGGGCGAGGAGGACGAGCGGCCCGCACAGACCGCGAGCGCAGACAGCGCCTGCTGGCCATTTCGAGACATTCGCAAAGAACGCTAGCTACATACATGGGAGGGCTTCGTGAAGGATGGATTGAAAAACATTCGAACAAAGAAGAGGCGACGGAAGGAACCGGCAGAGGATGCAGTGACGTGACACCCCCCCCCCCCCTACACACACACACACACGCACACACACACACACACACACACACACACACACACACACACACACGCACACACACACACACACACACACACACACACACACACACACACACACACACACACACACACACACACACAAACACACACACACACACACACACACACACACACACACACCGTCTGGGGGGGCGACCCCCCCATCTTTGTTTACCGATGCGTCCTAGAATGCAAAAACGCATTCTAGGACGCACTTTTCATCTAAACTTCTGCTTGGAAAAAGAAATGCTGGCGTCCAACTGCACTCCAAGTGCTCCCCAAGTGCCGCGAAAATATAGGCTGCAAAAAGCGGGGCGCGCGTTTTTGTATTATTAACAACGAAAGGCGCTCTAAAAGGACAACGTTGGCCGTGGAGTCTTCTCCGTCGATCACACGGGGCGCGGGGTGACCCACATCATCACTGGCTCGCGGCAATACGGGCACTCTCGCATCAGCTCGGAGCATGGACCGCAGACGCACAAGTGGCTGCACGGCACCGCGAGGTGAGACTTTGGCCGCTCGAAGCATATGATGCACGACGTCTCGCCTCCCATGGTGGACTCGGGGGCAGCCGGCCGCCCCGTGTCGAGGCCGGCGTCCGCTAGTGAGACGGCAGCAAGCGCCTCGGTGACTGGCAGCTGCTGCTCCGCCGCCTCTGCCGCCTCTGGCTCGATCAAGCGCTCGATGGCGCCGACCCGCTCCTCGAGGCTACCCTCGGTCGCCGCGCCGAGGCTCGCCTCCAGCCGATCGACACACCGCTGCAAGTCCCCCCCGCCGCCGGTCGACTCGCTGCTCACCGCCGCCTCGCACCGCGACACCCGACGCGCCAACGCCTCCTCCGCGTCCACCTCTGACCGACGCAGCGCCTCTGCCAGCTCCGCATCCTCGCGCAGCGCTGCCCGCTCCGCCGCACCCGCTCGCTCTGCCGCCTCGCGCTCCGCTTGCCTCGCCGCCTCCTGCTCAGCAGCCAGCCGCGCCGCCCTCTCCTCCTGCGCGCGAAGCTCTGCCGCAGCCTTCGCTCTCCGCTCCTCCTCGAGCTTGCAGGCGGACGGCGCCCTCTTGGCCTCCTTGTTCTTCGCCTTGCCCTCCTTCCTAACCGCTCTCTTCTCGGCTGCCTTCGCCAGCCGCTTCGCCTTCTCCTCCTCCGCCCTCTTGTCAGCAGCCTCCTTCTCGCGCCGCTCCGCCTCTGCCTGAATAGCCTTGCGCTCCGCCGCCGCCGCCCGCTGCTCCGCAAGCTGCGTCTCCTCTGCTGCTCGTCTCTCCGCCTCCCTCGCCAGCAGCGTCTCCTCTGCTGCCGCGCGCTCAGCGGTCAGCTTCGCCTCCGCCTCTGCCGCAATCGCTCGCTTCTGCTCCTCCAGCGCCGCCGCATTCGCCGCCCGGCGCACCTCGTCCGCCGCCCGCTCTGCTTCGCGCTGTCGTGCCGCCTGCTCGCGCTCCCGCGCCACCGCCGCCTCCTCTCGCTCGCGCTGCTCGCGCCGCCTCTTGGCCGCGAGCGCTTTCTCCGCCGCCTTCTCTGCCGCCTCCGCCTCCCTCAGTGCCGCTGCATGCTCTGTGAGAGCGCGCACGCACCCGGCGTGGTCCATCGTAGAAGCAGTGGCCTCGGCAGTAGCCAGCTTGGCCTCCTCCTCCTTTGCAATTTGCAGCGCGGACTTGCCGTTCACACAGCGCGCCTTCGTCTCTGCGCCAGCCTGCAGCAGGCAGAGCACGACTGGGAGTCGGCCGTTGGCGGCGGCGCCAACCAGCGCGGTGAAGCCGTCGCTGTTGTGCAAGTTGATCTCCGCGCCGTGCTGAATCAGCAGCTCGACCACCCGCTCGTGGCCGTAGCTGGCGGCGCTTATCAGCGCGGTCCAGCCGTTGCTGTTCCGCTTGTAGGTCTCCGCACCGCGCTGCAGCAGCAACTCGACCACCCGCTCGTGGCCGCTGTACGCGGCGCTTATCAGTGCGGTGCCGCCGTCGCTGTCCTGCTTGTCGACCTCTGCGCCGCGCTGAAGCAGCAGCTCGACCACTCGCTCGTGGCCGTTGGTGGCAGCGGCCATCAGCGCGGTGCTGCCGTCACTGCTTTGCAGGTTGATCTCCGCGCCGCACTCCAGCAGCAGGTCGACCACCCGCTCGTGGCCTTGGATGGCGGCGTACATCAGCGTCGTCCAACTGTTTCTATCCTGCAGGTTGATCTCCGCGCCGTGCTGCAACAGCAGCTCGACGACCCGATCGTGGCCGTTTCCTGCGGCGTGCATCAGCGCGGTGTCGCCGTCCCTGCGCTGCAGGTTGACTTGAGCGCCGTGCTGCAATAGTAACGCGGCCACCCGCTCGTGCCCCTGGCCGGCGGCGTCCATCAGCAGGGTAACGCTGGTTACCTCGCCAGTCTCGCGCGCGGTGTTTGCTCGCCCGCCTCTCTCGAGCCACGAACGCACCGCCGCTTCGTCGCCTCGCAACACCGCGGCCACATGCGGCGCCTGCGGCTGCTGCGGCGCGCTGGTTGACATATATGTGCACAATTATTACTCGAGCACGTCAAAACGGCGGCGCGACAGTTGATCAACTTTTGGCCGGGGTATAAAATGAACTCGGGGGCAAGGGACGCGGCACAAACGGGGCACAAACGCCAGGCTACAAAGACGGGGAGGCACGTAGTGACGCAGGGGAGTCTAGGCGAAGGCGGCGTCCTCCGACGCCGCGGCGAGCCTGAGCTCGGTCGCAATCTCTTCCGCCGCCGCGAGCTGCAGCGCGACTGACGTGCGCTGGGCCTGCAGCGACAGCCACGACCGCGTCGACCAGCTCGCCTCGTCCTCGTGCTGCCGCTTCGAGAGCTTGTTGCGCACCTTGTCCTTCATCTGGTAGAACAGCCGCTTGACCGCGTTGCACCACCCGCCGAAGGTTTCGAACAGGTACATCTGCACGTCGGTGTCCGAGCGCGAGAGGGCGTGCGCGTAGTCCGCCTTCTTGTACGCCACAGCCGCCGCCGCCGGTTTTAGGTTTAATGATCGGTATGTTTTCTTAGTAAATTAAATGAACTCGGGGGCACGGGACGCGGCACAAACGGGGCAGAAACGCGAGGCAGAAACGCACTTGGAGCACCTGCGATGCCGTTAGCGCGCGCTTTCTTCAATTCAACGCCTACTCGACTAGGTCTCGGTTTCGCTTTCGCTCGCTAGGTACCGAACGCGGCCAAAGGATATCCACCTCGAGAACCTCGAGAACCTCGGAATGACGGACGCCGATCGCCTCACCTCCTCGCTGGCCGGCCTTCACGTCGGCGGCTCGCACTACTCGCTGCCTGCGGCTGAGGCCGCGCCAAGCTCAGCCGCGCAGCGCAATCTGCTCTCGGACGAGGACATCGTCGAGGGCATGCTCTTCACGGTCTCTGGCCGGATGCCCCGCGCGCGAGTCTTGGAGGCGCAGCAGGTCAACGACCGAATCATCGCGACGCTGCGGGCCGCGCGCTGCGTGTGCCGCGTCTGGCACGCGGCCGGCGCGAAGCCTCTGCTTGCGGCCGAGCTCGATAAGAGGCTGGTCCGCTTCAAGCTGGCGATGGACTTCTTTGCGAAGCAGCGGGCCGAGAAAACGCTCAATGTGAAGCCGTCGCGTGCCATGCTCGGCCTCGCCGACGCGGACAGAGTCGTATGCAACTGGCTCGTCGCCGGGTGGGAAGCGGGCTTCAACTCGGTGCTCGCGGACGACCCCGGCCTCAACAGCGTCGAGCCCTGCGCGGCCACGATCAAGCACCTGCACGAGGAAGGCATCCGCGGTCCGTTCTGGATCATCGCGCCCGAAACCACGTGGCCGGCGTGGACCGAAGCGCTCAACGTGCCAGACCTTCCCGTGGCAGAGGTGCGCACCGGCGAGGAGCTCGACGATCACATGGAAGAGTGGTGGTCCATCCACCCGGCTGGCGGCCTCCTCTTCATCCCGATCGACGCGAGCCCACTGATTCTGCCCGGTGGAGCG